CTGCACCTCTCTCTGCACCCCTCCTGCACCTCTCTCTGCACCTCTCTCTGCACCCCTCCTGCACCTCTCTCTGCACCCCTCCTGCACCTGAATAAAGTGGAAGAATAAGAAGAAGAGAACAAATCAAGAAGGAGAAGGAAACTAGAGATCACTCTTATGTGGCCTACAACTTTTATGGGCGGCAAAAGTTTGCAGCAATACCGGTATTACCTTTTGGTTGGTTTTCTATTTTGCCTCAAATTTGTTCAAAGTGGGCATTTGTCATAAGAGTATGTGTATTGCCATCTGGTGTTCCGATAGCTGCGTGGGATTTTTCAAATTTTTGAATTATTGTTTTACTTTTGCACCAACTGCCAACTATAGTTTTAGCAGCTACCGGTATTTGTAGGAAAAACACGACTATGACGTCAAAAGAACAGACCCTTCAAACCAAAAAAAGGAAACAGTAGGTTGGAATCACAATTAAGTTTACTTGAAAAATACCTCTGAAATAACTGCCTTCTACTTGATTGTTCAAAAGTTTCTCGCTGATGGGTGTTTCTTCCCCTTAATTCCATCATAACCAAAGCAGCATCTCCCGATTTACCGTACATCGTGTACACTTGGCAACATAGTACAGTGTGTACGTACCGTTCTGACTTCAGCAATATCAGACAGCTTTAAAGAAAATTGATCACGTAACCATTTGGCGGAAAAAAGACCTGGAGTAGTTTGTTTATTTTAAATGGTGTGATGGTTCGTGAAATATCATTAACTCACTGGTTCATACCGGTATCTACACGCTGATCGTATTTGTGAGTTAGGCCTTATTCTTTTTTCTCCAATAACTTGCCATGAAGTTTCCCTTACTAGTGAATGGGGCAATAGTAATTTAAGTTCAACATGAGGTGTTAATCGACTTGATCAGGTTTGCAAAACTACGCAATTACTGTGTTCCACTTTGGTGACCAAAACGACACTTTTTTGAAGCCAGGCAATGGAATCTACATTTCTGCAAAGGAAATACCGAAGGCCTACATGTGAGTGGAATATTTTTTCAGGTAAAAGGCCTTCCGTGACAGGAAACAGAAAGGTTGAATCTAGGAAAACACCTTTGGGCGTTGGCTTAACCAACTGTGTTAATAACAGACAGTTTGATTTACCCTTGGTTCTGATACTGTGCATGAAATGAAAGTATATTTTGAAATGGACTTGTTGCGTGTATATATAACGTAGTAATGCTGCTTTTCATCCAGAAACGTAGCTTTAAGACACACATCCATGTAGGTGTTACAGAACATTAAGTGTTATTGTTTCAGATGTGTGTGTAGAATTGATTGGACTTCCTTTTAAGATCAGGAGTGAAGCTATTTTTGTAAGGTTGTGTGTTCATTGATAGTGATATGATTTCAGAAATGTTTGTTACTTGTGTTCACACAGAACTGTTCATGCATTTGTACTCGACATCTCGTAAGAGCCAATTCAAGACGAGTAGGGTCCAGGTTTCAAACTTTGCCTTGGCAGGTGGTCCAGGTGCGAGACTAACCAACATTCAAACCCAATAACCTGCAGCATTTGTTTATTTAAAAGCTGAATGCAGCTGGTGGTGGGCCCATGTTAGAAATTGTGGACACAAGACACACCTGTTTGTGTATCTGGAAATGATTGGCATTTTGCTTGCCATTCAATCAAAGTGAGATAAACTTGAGGATGAGCAGAGTATAATCCACACTTACAAATGGTTGAAAAATAAAAATGTTTGGTGTCTGGCCGTTATTTCTCTCATGGCATCATGACCACAGTGACACATAATGGCAGCAAGCTTCTTGCCAGGGACGCAGAAAAGTTCAGAGTAAACGGGATGAGAATGAATCATTAACGTTAATTGACAGGTGAAGGATATAATAGACAGAATCTATGCCCACTGCAGCAACACATGTAAAAGCAGCATTGACAAAGGAAGGCTTGTTTTTGTTTTGGGGAACAAAATGCAGTGTGAGGTGGGGAAAAGATGACCCTACATGGTCCATCCTGCTCTACTCAGAAGGGGGACTCCAACCACCCACCCACGCCAGAATCTAAAACTTTTATTCACGATACAAATCAGATTGACTATCACCAGTTAAAAGTTTCACCTAAAGTGAGAAAGGGAAATAAATTTGCTTCACCACTAAAAACCGAATTGTGAACAAAAAATGACAGAAAATAGATTGAAGAAGAGTCTGATGACCAATGACATGTACATGGATTCAACATCTGCAATTTAATGAAAGAAAAGTGCAGAAAAGCTGCTCTGTAGATATTGTGGCATTGTGCAAAATTACCATTTTTCTGTCAAAGGATCTTTTCGGTGAGTTACTCCCCCCCCATTGCAGCAGCAGCTGTGCGAAGAAAAGAAGTAAGAAGAGACAGTTTTCTGAGAAAATGTACCCCAAAGATAATGTTGCTAGTGAGGAATCATCCTTCCTGAAAGTACACTAATAACCTGTAAACGTGACATTTACACGGTACCAAGTTTAGCACTGAGGATTTCCTCTGCATTGTGTTTCCAGCATTACAGCCAGGCGATCAGAGCTGGTTGACCTTTCAAATTTTCTAAAAGGAAACACGAGTCTCCTTAAATATGTTTACTCTACAATAATGTCAGATTCATTCCCAAGAAAAGATCTTTAACAGGCAATAAGTCATGTGGAGGTATCTTGTTCCTTCACGGGAGGCATAAATTTCACCAATCAATTTCACACGCTTCACTTTAATCATGGATTTATTTCGGTACCTTAGCATAAAAAGAAAAGCGCATTTGTTAATTCATTTTTACGAAATTACCCTGGGAATTTGTTATCTTGGTTCCTGGGGTTAAAAAAGATCGGAACTTGGGGATAGTGTTACAAGAATTTCCTGAAAACAAGAAACCTCTGTGGGGTTGTTGTTGGAATCGTATTTCAAGATCATGTCGCTTTTTGTGAAAAAAGTACGGAAAAGTTGTTTTATTTCTATTGGGAATACATCTTTCGAGCTTAAATTGATAAACATTTCCTGAAAAGGCTTCAGTGCCGGAAAAGGTGTCACATTTCAAACTCTTTTGTGATTTTTAAATAAATTCTCCTTTTCCTGCAAAATGGTTAAAAGCAGGTCTAACCTAAGAAATAAAGTAATTTTACAACAATGCAAACCTCTGTCTTATTGGGACTTTGCTTTTAACAGAGGGTTCAGGTTTTAATTTTTTTTATGTGAGAAATAAATCAATGTTCCAGTAAATTGTCCCTTTCTCCCATTTTGTTGGGATGCCTTTATCTAAATTATGGATAGGACCGCAGTTTCAAGCCTTCTTTGATCAATATCTCAACCACCCTTAAAAAAAAAATTGTTGTCTTCTACTAATTCTCATTTTCCAGGCAAATTTCCTCTTCACTGGAACAAAGAAGAGGTGGAAGATTGGCTGAAATGGTGCATCCAGGAATTCTCCCTTGGCGGTGTGGAACTGAGGAAGTTTTCCATGAATGGTAAAGCTCTCTGCCTGCTGACAAAGGACGGGTTCCAACACCGTGCCCCATATGCTGGTGATGTGCTACATGACTTACTGCAAAAACTTCTGGGAAAAGGTATAGTGCTCTTGGAAACGCCTCCATATCTGTCCATGTTGTGAATTTTGTCCTGCCAGTTTTCCATGATACATGTACATGTAATTTGTCTGTTTGGAGACACCTGCCTATTGTGGCCACTTGACCCAGAAGTTGTACATAGTCACCTGTCTAGTATGTTCATACTGACCACCAGCTGTCCATTGTGGCCACTGATAGCTACATAGGTCTGTCCATGATTTCCGCCTATCCACAGCAGCCACATGTCCAAAGTGACCAGTTGTTGATCATACTATACTTGGCCATTGTGACCACTTATGTTTACTGTCCTTGCAAGTTACTGAAATGCACTTGTTCATCGGGAGCCACCTGTCCGTAATGACCAGCCACCTGTCCATAATGACCAGCCACCTTGTAAACCCCTCTTCATTGTGATCCACTGGTCCATATATTGTGGCTGCCAAACCAGGAATATTAAGGACACATTTTAATTCTGACACCCTGTTCAACATGGATGACCGCACTACTAGCCAGTTCATGTATTTGTTGTACATGTAAGTTGGTCGTTCTTAGGTCCAAAGTGTGACATTTTTGTAACTATGTTACACCTGACCTGTTTAATTGGACTTGGAAATAGCATTAAACTTAACTTTAAACTATTGTCATTTGTTTGGCAGGTGCTTTGCATTAGTTAATTACTCTTGGAAATCAGAGATTGCGCTCTAAACTTATACACAGTCTTATATCAGATGTGACAGGGTTCATCTAAAATAAAAATCTGGCCCCGTTTGTATAGAATGACGTGGATCTCTGTCGTGGAAACAGCATTTCTAGGCAACACCCCCAGACAGCTTGAAACTGCCAAATCATCCCTTCCTGTTTCCAGAGGAAGCCAAACAAACCAGAAATGAACAACAAAGATTTGACTTGTGGTTTATCTTCTCTGAAACTAAAAAAGTGAAGTTAATGAAAGGAAAGGAAGTATCCTTCAAAATTCCAAAAGAACTACTAGTTCCGTAGCATGTGTATTTTTATGAAACTATCAAAATGTTTCTTCAAGTCTTGCCATAAATAAGCCTTTTTTGGTAGTTAGTTCAAGGAGACATGAACATCATACTTCAATGTATGTTGAACAGCTGTCATTACAAGGTAGTCCCCCCCCCCAAGGGCAACCCTAAAGTAACATTTTATTGTCTCCTAATGCAATTGACAGAAATTGCTGCGTAAAATTGAAGATTGGAATAGTGTATTTTTAAAACTGAAGACTTCATTGAAATTTAATGAGGTGTTAAATAAAATTTGATTAGAAAACAGGGTAAAGTTTAATTTGACAGCACAAGCAGCATTGCTTTGAGAGAAAATGGATGTTACTTTTAGGTTTGGTGTTTTTTTGTGGGGGGGTGCCGTAAAAAGTAATATCTGGATGTACCCAATAAATAGCATTCAGTCTTGTCCCAGATGCATTTTTGTAGGTTTTGTCTAGGTTTTTTCAGCAAAATAAATTTTCAAAATAATATTGTGTTTCAGTATAATCGGACTTAATGTCCTATAGTGGAACTCAATTTGCACGATCCAATCACAGGGCATTGGTATTATTAATTCACCGTAAGTTGGACAAAGGTACAAGTTTTCCCCTGTTTCCAGGTAGTTTCTGTTCATTGGCATTTTGACTTGGGAAATTATGCAAACTTGCCAATGCTCATGGGAAATGGTACTTGCTAGCAGTGCACCAAATATTGCACGTGTACGTGCACAGTACGCCATGAACACACTTTGTACCAGTTGGTTCCACTCTGATGGCCACACAACAAACAAGGAAAACAGGGAAGTTTCCAGGCCAACAGACCTCTGGGACGGTCCCTTTAGGCAAACTTCCCAGAACTCAAACTTGACTCTGTTGCAAATATCATTAACCTGTGCCACTTGTTGCTTTTATGGGAAAACAGGTGAAATACATGGTGCAGTGCCAAACATACGGTATGCTACGTACATAATACTAGTACATGAATTGCTAACTGGCTTACTTTTCATAAATTAACAGGTTTTTGGTGTAAATATGAAAGTAGTCATATTCTGAGAGGTGGTATTTGTCAAAGATGTAACTAGTTGTCTTTCTTCTCTGCATCCTTGAAAATGGACTTTATCAGTGAGCAGTGATACAGTCTACAGCTGGTTAAGCAAGACTTTGGATACCTCAAACTACATACATGTAGTTTATTGTTTTCATTTGTAGAAGAAAGCTAAGAAATTCTTTTGAATCAAATCGACATTGTTGGGAAATAACTGAGTCATGGCCACACCTCCTAGCTCCAGGCATATCATGCCCCTTAATCACAGTGTTGTTCCATGGAGTAATTGCTGGTGCTAATCCATTGTGATTTTGTACAAATGAAATTTCTTGACTTTGTTTCTCCCATCACAGATGGAATCCAATACTACCCACCAGTGCCCGGTATGCAAATGAAGCCCACCTCCTCAGCCAATGAGGCGATAACATTAGCCAAGCACCTCTGCTCCCCAACAACAGCCATCAATGGCAAGAGTCAGAGGGACACACAGGAGTATAGACAAGGTGCAAACCCAAAAACAAATCTGAGCAATCTCTAATTATTACAGTGTAACAGCTAGAGTGGATGTAGCAGTTAACAGAACAGTGTGCTGTCAACTGTCCTTATTTCTCCATGAACAGCTGGCGATCTTTTGTGCATTATATATTCAGCTGGTAATAATCTACTCTCCGCTACATTTGAAAACCTCTTCAATTCATCATATGAGCACACAGTTTTCATTTTAAATCTTGGTAGGTCAGAAATCGGAGCACCTGCCAAATCTTCTTGTGCAGTGTCCTCAATTCAGAACAGAAGGGAACTTTTTACAAACAATGGACTTCAGAAATGAAATTTCCATATCAACCGTTTGCCTCTCTTTTGTGATTTTCAATTGTATTAGAATACATTGTAGGATCTAGATGCCTAAACATGCTAGTGTGTTACTGCTGTTGGGCCAAGAAAAAGGTCAAATGAACCCATGGTATGGAGGTAAGGAAGCAAACAGAATCAAACCTTTTACTTGTTTTGATCCAAATTAGCTGTGGTTGCCATCACAAGTACTGCAAACGATGCGATGCCAAGCTCTCAAAATAAAGCAGAAGATCGCTACAGTGGCCCCTCCATCGCTGGACACTCTCAGGAAGATACTGAAGAGGAGAAGAATATGCCGTTGAATCTCAAAATATCAGGTATGTCAAAATATGCTTAATAGATTTAAGAACAAACCTGGAAAAGTAAAGTTGTGTTCAAATAAGCTTTTAAGAACTACAGCAGTGTCTTTTGGCCACACTTGCCGGCATGTTTTATCGGGTTAGTGCTAAAAGGTCATTACAGCAAAAATATAACTTTTGAAAGTACTCTTAAGGCCTCACTCTGAGCATGAAAGAAAAGGTGTATTGAAACAAACTATATTGTTTTACTTTTAATTTATTAAACTAGTTTTCAAGGGCCAATATATTTAAATTTCAATTAATTTCTTTTAAGAATAACATTTTTCAATAAAGACCTTTTAATGTAATTTTTTCATGAAGGTCCTTTTAGCACTGACACGATTTTGCAAACGGCAAAATAACTTAGACCCTCATGTAGCTGCATAGACAAAACTCAGGAATGGCCTAATATATACATGTAAGTGCCCTTCACATGCTGTGATTCTTTTAAGCCATTTGCCACACACTGCCCTCTGTAGAGTGTGCCAAAGGTTCACACAGTATGAGCATACATCTAATCATCGCAGGGGTTAAACCCTAAAAGTCGTCCTCATTGATAAAATAATGATTTCTCTCATGCCCTGGTGATTAACACTGCTATTTCATGAAATAGAATTCATTTTTTCAAGCTGTTGAAAAGAATTCTTTTTCCTATCAGAAGTTGGAAGTGAGAGTCCCCGTGATTCCAGATGCATCTCTCAGGCACTTATTGAGGACAGGATATCCCCGCCTGCTCATCCCCTCTCTGCTGTTAGTGCCTATTTGTGCCTCCCTGACCATCCAGCATTGACCTGCACAGCAAAGCCAATACGTGGTCTTAACAGTAGATCACCGCCAGTGGGAGGTCATAGTGAGAGGTCATCACCAGCTGAAAGTCATGCCAGGAGGTCATCCATATCACCAGAGAGTCAGTACAAACGGAAGTCTCATGTCTTTACTGGTTATCCGACTGTTTACACTGCTCCTGCCTCTTATCCCACCCCTGCCACCATTTCAGACACACACTGTGGCTCTCATGCCCAGGCCTCAGCTTTACCTGTGCAGCCTGATTTTAAAAATGGATGGGAGAGTTGGAATCGGTACTGTGACATGAGTACATTCATTAAGTACAAAATGAACAAAGAGGGCAAACTGGCTGAAGCTGATGTAGCAAGATGCCGCCAAGTAATAAAAGATGGTTGGAAGGAGGGTGGTCTGAGTTCGAAGGAAGAGCAGCATCAGTCTCCTGGTGGACAAAGTGAACAAGGGAAGCTGTTTAATGGAGTCAAAAGCAATCCTCGGCTTTCCATCACTGCTAACCAGTCTCGCTATGACAGTAACTCTGACCCTAATAGACAAATGGTGAAGACTGCACACGAGGTACCAGTTATCAGGACAACAAGAGAACAATACCGAAGCTGTTCTCCTGAAAGAGCTTCAGATGCGAGCTCAGCTTCCATCGGGTTAAAGTCCATTGCCCAGCCCATACCAGTGAGACTTCTGACAGACACAGATGCATGTAATGCACCCATCTATGGCTTACCTCCAAGTTCATATGTCAGCCATCAGCAAAAGGGGACTTCGGACGAGAGACATTGTCCCAAAGTCCAGAGTGCATTCTTTCCCCAGAAGTCACGAGAGGGTCTGCTGATGTCATCAGCGACAGAATGTCGGGAGGGAGTCGATAATGTCTCCTTCAAACAAAAAGGAGGTGAGCTGCACAGAGTTGTCTCCAACAAAGTTCTTTCTAGAAAAGGTTGAACCTCTCTCTAGACCACATGCACCATATTCTTGGAGAGGTAAAATGAGCTCCCAGTGAGTTAAGGATAGGTACAGTGGCTGTTGTGCCCCTGCATCGTATTACAAAGTTCGCAAGCTGGGATGGGACACTGATCAACTGTGCAGGAGTGTTTAATCACCCACTTCCATGTACCCATTATTAATGAGATTTTTGCTGCAGAAGATACTTGTCATAGTTTTTTCAAGAGTATTTCCATAGTAACGAAAAAAGCTTTTGCTTTAAGATTGTGTGAAACTGGAGTGGTCAGCTGAGGGTCTGTGCTTTTGATGTCGGGGTCATGTTTTTCCTACAAGTGGCTGCTAAAGTCGGGTTGGTTGTTGATACAAAATTAAAAGATTAATTCAGAAAATGTTAAAAGTCTCACACAGCTATCAGAACACCAGATAATAATACACACACTACTTTATACTAAATGAAAACAAAACCCTTTCTAAAATCAATGGGAAAATTGTCCATTTTGAACAAATTGGAAGTAAAATCGAAAACCAACCAACAGGTGATATTTCTGCAAACTTTGGCCGCTCATTCCAGTTGAGTTGAGGCAAAATAAGAGTGGTCAATGTGACTGGTCTTTTCCAGAGTGCCGACTTCTGTGGGATTTCATGGCCCAGCTTCTCAGTAACGAAAAGAACACCTCCTACATCCGCTGGGAGGACAAGGAGAAACTCATCTTCCGCTTTGTTGACCCCAACGCCTTTGCCAAAATGTGGGGACTTCAGAAGAACCGGACCAACATGACTTACGAGAAGGTGTCTCGTGCACTTCGGTATTACTACAAGACTGATATCATTGCTAAGGTGCCAGGGCAAAAACTAACATACAGGTAAACAGTCAGGGAATAAGGCACCAACCTGCCTATCCTACCGGTGTGAATTCTGGAGGTTTTGTTATAGATTTCAGAATTGTTACTCACATATTGTGGATAATGAGAGGTTTAATCCTTTGGGGTATGCTAATTTGGCACTCTGTATTAAAAGCATATTCAAGATTCACCAAACCAAAGCCATTTGTTTGTCATTTCTACCAAACCTTTTGCTGAAATGTTTCAAGGATTTCTTTCATCCCCTATCTCACATTTTTGGGGAAAAGAACAGCTTTTGTTCACACGTTAGGACTTGTCACAAGAAAACTAAGACTTCTTCCAATGCTGTGTTTCAGACTTTCAGTATCGTGTTGGCTCTCTGTGTAAATGCTAGTCAAAGTCGGCAGACATTTCTCTTCAGCATTTGTACCTGTACAAAATAAATCAAGTGTTAACACTGTGTTGCCGGTAATTTTGCTTTCACGTGCTTAGATTCCTGCAAGACCCAAAAGACATTGCCAATGCTCCTCGTTTCTCCAAATCCAAGAAGAAAACAACAGCCAGAGAGGGTGGCCAAACCTCCGATGGTGCATCGCCAACAGAGAGTGATCATTCCGGCTCACTTGACTCAGATGCAGAAAGTGCGTCGTCCGACTCCACAATAGTTGCTGCATCACAGGACATGATGGAAACTGTTACCATGGAAACAGACTCCAAGAAACAGAAAACAATGGAGGTCAACATTAAGGAGGAACCTTGTTAAACAGACGTGCTCCAGCATTGTTTATTCCTCTGTGCATCTTTGTCAAAGTTACACGTAAATATGGTCATAAATTACCAAACACTAACAGTGACTCCTGGATGGACAGAAGGAACTGGGTGGGGTGAATTGGCTTGCCTAAGGACACAGCATGTGACCAGCAGCTGAATTCTAACCCCTGTGCCTTCCGATCTTGACTCATAAGTTCATTCTCTCAATATTATATTGTGATGGTGAAAATCTTCAACTGGATCTTCTTGAAAGCTTAGTTTCAAAATCTCACTGTGGTGTGATATCTTAGCAGGAAAATTTTTCAAAATTAGAGAACCTGTCTTTAAATTTTTCTAAGGCTGTCAAGAATGTCTTTCAGGTTCGAATATTTTGGTGTATAAATAGTAAATGAAATCTTTACTCAGCTTGCCGTTTTGCACAGTGAAACAGAATGTTCCATGATCTTTACTTTGGTTTGTTTTTGTATGTAGCATGGATAGAGTGTGAAACAAAATATTTTCTGATCTTTACTTTGATGTGGACTTGTGTTTGTACATATTAACAGGAATTTTTTGTAGCTGGTCCCAGGTCAAGGAACATAAGCCAAACAGCCGTCTTGTACATAAACATGGTTTTAGTTGGCTTAATGGCTGAAGTTGAGAGTATTCCTTGTTGAGTGTACCTTGAGTGATCAAGAGTATACTCTTCATCAGACTTGGAGAATACTCTTGCATCAGGTGGTTATTTCAAGATGGCAGAATGGTAACCGTTGGCCATTCATACAATGTGATCCAAGAGTTAGGCACACACAGCATGTTCCTTTAGCCACAAGTATCGAGAGTAACGAGCCTGAACTTGGCAATGTGTTGCAGTGAGTGGAGTCCATCGCAAATCATCCTGTCTGATATGAACTCAAGTCAAAGCTATTCCAATGATCTGTGACGATAATATAATTATCGTAGCATAGATGGGCCAGAGAAATAACAAGTTGTCAAAATTTGTTCTGATGCTGAAAGAAATAATCCAAATGCCTTACTTTGAAACAACTAACTGTAATACAATGTAATTACATTTTTTCAGTGGCCGAGACTAGGACAGTTCAGTTTAAGACAGGATCCAGTTGACACATACATGATTGGTTGAAACAGGCTGCAAAGTTTAGAAATAATCACATCAGGTTTGCCAAATGGAAGATACATGTTTACATACCCTCTCCAAAGTGGTGCCGACAGCTACACCCTCAAGATGTACTATGCCCAAACTTGGTTGCTGAACTCAACTGCAGAGTCCAGACACCCAAGGTTTTAAACCCAGGCTAGGTCCCAGCGCCAGGGCTTAGACAAAAGGCCATGCAGATTAGAAATTCCTCTTATACTGAAAATGGGTGGGCCAAAGAGAGTTCATAACAAAGAAAGGAATGTTGGGTGGCTGGTCTGGATTAGTCCACATCTTCCTCAGGGTGGGAGCTGGCTAGATTATTCCATAATATGAGCGGGGCCTACTTCTCACTACGATATCAACTTCCACTCTGATAATGAAAGTCTTGCAACCAGTGGAAACTACAGCTGCTGTTTTAACCAACTTTATTGAAGAATTTGTAGGGTTCCCACAAGACATGGCAATGCCTGTCACCAACATTGTAATTGCTACTTGTAAAGTGTAAACTAAACTTTTATTTCATGCAATTATGTTAGTAGAGTACTGTAACCGTACACAACTCGCTTAATAATTCTACATTGATCGCGAACATAAAAACATCTACTGTAAAAGTTATTTCTCTAACAATGCTTGCACAAGAAAAAGACCGCTACTTTTGATAAAGATATATGTACAAATTAAAATAATGGCAGAAATCAGACAACCTGATTCTTTTTGTCAATGTTACTTCATGAAGGTCCTTTCTTGGAGAGTTGCGTTATCTTATATGCGAATTTGTCAATAATCTAAATATGAAGTTGTTTTGAAATTTATAAATAAATCTTACATAAATTTTGGGACCTTGGATAAAATAAATATTCCTCTACAACGAACATGTAACACTCTGAAAACCAAAGGTTTTTAGTCAAAGGGCAAACTGGCATTTTTCTGCTGAAACTTGTTTCGACAAAATTATAATTTCCCTCGTTTATAAATGTTTGAATTATTCACGAGTTGGCTGTGACACAGTGAGTTGTAAATAAAAATAGTCATTTAAGTGCGAGGTTACAGACTAGGAACTAAAGATTTCTGGACACAGAATGCAATTGATGTACATTTAAGCTGGGGTTAGTGGAGTCTTGTGTATGGCCCAATATGTCGTAAAAGATGACCTAATTTTGAAACTGTTTTAGCATGTGGGCTCAATACAAAATGACTCTTATTACAAAGCATGCAATGACCTCTAATTAGGATGATACACCAGGAGCAGATCCACTGAGGGCCACAGGGGTCTATGCTCAAACCCCCCCCCCCCAGGGTGACTTTTTTCTGATTCCTTTCCCTTCCTTCAATAAGCTGTAAAAATGCGTGTCTGTAAAAAACATACCCCCCCTTCCCACCCCGCCCCAAAATGTTGGTTCTGGATACGCCCTGCACATCACATACAACTGTCAACACATGGCATGGATCAAGCGAATAAGAAGAAAATTGTCAGTTTCTTTGATAGTGCACCTAGTCAACATGGTTGGCGACCCGCCTCTTCCATTGCCAATGAGGGGATATTTTTGCTTTGATAACAAGAGATGCCTTCTCATGTTGGCTACAGACACACCTGTGCCTTCTCCTTTTTTTCTCAATTTTACACACACTAACTTAATTTACTAGAAATCAATAAAAAATGCATTAGCACATCTGCTCCAAGCATAATTTGGAGTTCTAATAACTTAGCAAGATTTCAAGAATAAAAATATAACCATCTACCTAGTTTGGAAAAGCCATTATTTTGAAAGTACTGTTGTTACATGTCCCCACAAACAGAGTTATGATGATGTTTTCATTACACGCCTCTTCTTATTCATGTACTAAAATTCTGCCACTTCATCTACAAAATGAAGACACTTCCAGCATTTACTTAACAAACTGCATTCACATGAGAAGTCACAAATTAAGACACTTTGTCAAGAGACTTCAGTTCAGGAAGATAAGGATTCATTTGGGCTATAAAAAGCCAATTCTTCAAAGATAAGAAAAACTGAATAATTTCAGATAGGCGATGTCAAGGGCCTATGTATAGAGGTTTTTCAAGTGACATAACATGAAGGGCAAAGACATTTCATGAACTGTAACATTACGTAGGAGGTGTGTGCATTTTCAAATCTGTGCATTTCTATTGTCTATTAGAATGTGGAGAAGCTTCAAAGGTGTGTACATTTCCGCACACATCTGTTTAAAATGAACAATGACTGTCAATAATCATGTGACTGAAAATCTTCTACACACTAGTTCACTTCAAAGCTCGCATTACGATCATGCCATCTACTATCAACATTTTCCCACTTATTTTGTCTTTTTGCTGTCCCTAGATGCTCCATTCTGAAGTGCCTCTCCGTTCTGTGCCTCGGCAGTCCTAGGCTTGCTTGATAAGGAGCGCTCTGACTTAGGCAGTCGCTCCTTGCGGATGTAGGCGTGGATGTAGAAGTTGATGAAGAGAGAAAAGATGGTGATGCCGTAGAGGATCAGTGCCCAGTGCATCCAGCGAGGAAAGTTACATTCAAAGTAGAGAGACTGGCAAGCATGGAACAAACCAACGACAAACTGGCCCTGTAGTGAACGGCACAAACCAAATACCCTCTACTTTAGTTTTCTAAAAAAAACAACAAAAAACCAGAGTCTCCTAGAGGGGAACATGCCACACTGTTCAAATGATCAAGATCTTTTTTTTACCACTGGTTCTCAGCAGAGCGAACAAGATTTTTATCCAAAACCTACCTGCAAACCGATTTAACCCACTGACTTCTTAAGTGATGGAATGAAGGTCTGTGGAAGAAACAGATGTGCCAAGTTCCCGCTTCTGTGCCAATCATGGCTGTATTCTCAGTATGGGTTCTGATACCAAGAACTATCTTACTTACAAATTGCATTTGAGTGAGGTAACGTTTCCACCAGAGGTATTTCTGCATGCGTGGACCCATTGCTGCTAGCAGGTAGTAGGAATACATGATAAAATGAATGAAGGAGTTGAGTGTTGCACCAAACCATGCTGTAAATAAGGAACAAACATGAACTCCATCAAAAGTTATCAACCTTACAGTAATATCAAGCTATTCAAATGAACTGCAAGAAGTGTTTCTCTGTCACTTTTCACCCTGTTACTTGTGACTGGTCTTGTCATGGTTTCGATTACAAGGCTGAACAATCCATGGATTTTGCCCTCCAATAAAATCATTTTACTCACAGACCTCACTTATTTGCTATACTTGTGAGAAAGAACACAAAAATCACATATTTGAAGAAATTTTGGCCTCTCTAAATAGAACAGGCCATTGCTTGTTTTGGCATTGTGCAACTTATTACATCTTTGTGCAGAGCGGGTGACATATGGTTGTGGCTTCAGAGTTCCCCTAGAGTTATGTGTAATGTCAAGCCATAGCCAAACAATTTGGACACAGTCTTACAAACTGTAAATATACTGTAAATATATATGTTGAAAGTTACATGTACACCATTCTAATGCAAAACAGTCAGGTGTGGTATATCAAACAAAACTCTATTCTGAGAACTCGGAATGCTTCCAGTGGAGTGACCCATCAGACACACTCTGGTCTCATTGATAGCAGAGTAAAAGTGGCCGTTTGGGGCATATTCCATTGATCTTTTTGTTTTTAAAAATGAGATGGCTACAGAGTACGTGTACCGTGATGCCATTTAGAACCAGAGATTGTAGTGCAAACGAATAGAGTACCAGTGTGTGTTGGTTCATGAGCCGGTTATCACACTCATGCGTTTTACACACACCACTGTGAACGAGACATAGTCACTTCAGTACTCTGTATACACCTTCCTTTCCTGCACCAACTTGGACTTACACTGTCCTCCTGCCACCCACTTGATGCCAATCCACCACAGACCAAACATGCTGGCATGATGGTAGACATGAAGGAAGGTCAACTGACTGTTCTTCTTCCTCAAGATGAAGAAGACGGTGTCCAGCATCTCTACAAACTTGGAGAAGTAGAACCACCACAGCGACATGGCAATCTGTGGCAGAAAATCACCATTGCTTCATTCTCAAATCTACTGAAGCTGTTAAAGTTAATGTAGACTTAAAAGACTTAATATGTATCATGTGGTCAACCTGCAGGTTATTGGCATTGTACACACCTATTGAGGGCGGTATGATGGTCAGCCAGGCATTAATTAAATAGCATAAAAGTACCAGCATGCACTGTGCAGCACGATATATATGCTTTTTCAACTTCACAACATTGGTATGCACAAATGTGCCTCTCTTCACTAATCCGCAGTCTTCATCACTAATCTCTAAAATTTACAGCCAGTAGGGGGCGCTGTTTACCCGGTGTTCATACTCCTCATAGCTGTAGACCACTTCTTGGCAGCTGAGGCTGTAGCCTAACTGGTACCCGCATATCACATTCTACAGACAATTCAAAATGATCACATTAATTGGCTACATCAACTTTGGCAATTTACATATTTGTTACTGGGTATAATTTTGAAGTTTGAGAAAGAATGTTTTGATGTAGAAGACACAGACGCCACCCTTCTGTTTGTGGGGGATGGGTGGGATCACTGGAGGCAATCAAATCTGCACAGCATCAGTGGTAGTTGAGACCACTTAAAACCTTCACAAGGCCACACAAGACCAACACACGACCTCCAGTCTGAATTCAAGCCACAAGCTATTCAAATGAACTGCAACAAAAGTATTCCTTTGTTATTGTTCACCCGGTTACTTGTGACTGGCCTTGTGATGGTTTCGACTACGACACTGCACGGTACTGAAAAAGATTGTGGGTATAAAACACTGATGTCCATGTGAACTTGATAACCAATCACAGCTGGCTTACTCCATCAGAACTTACTAGGCAGATGTTACTAAACACAAACTAACTCATAAGGTTGCTCTACGGTCAGGCTATTATATTGCCACTGGCTGCATACAATTAGAGTTAGATTTCGAGTCATGAGTCATAAGTTGTGTCTGAATCAAGTGGCTGCATCCGAGTGTAACACACCCCTCTAGGAGAGGTGACCACAGCCACAAACCAAACGTTTTCTCCTTGGCATCCATTTGTTTTTCTGGCGGCAGACATTTGATTTAGACACGGTCATGAAAAGCGTCACTACTAACCTCTTTCAGAATGTGCAAAGATATCAGCATACACACAAAGTTATACATAATCATAGGCCACTTAAGGGTGAAGGGGTCACGGCTAGCCATAACCTTTGGCCCCAACCACACGATGAGTAGATACAGCAGAGTGATCGCAATTGTCCATCTTGGTGAGTCCATAAAGAGCCATTTCTCGACACGGGGATCTGTGGAGGAAATAATCAGGACAGTTTTCTCATCATGAAAAGCGGCGATTACAAATTAGGTAATCGGGTGCAAACAATCTTCACCGAGTAACTCCAACAATTTCACTGAGTAGAGAATCTGCCTCGAGCTGAAGTGCACCCCCGATCGGCAAAAAGAAAGACGGGTGGTTACAAGCAGGTTCTTGCATGCGCTCTGTGTGTATGCAAAGACCATAAATGCCAGCGTAAATTAGTTACGCGTACTAAGAGTGCTCCACATTAAACGCGCATATACTTCCGCGCCTCATGGCGCGCCAATGCCTGAGTACCAAAAAAACACGCCACTTTTGTTCCGCTCGGAGCGGATAAGGCTTGTATGGTGTAAATTCAATAACCAGAATTAGTGTGGTTGCACAACACTCATGGACAGGTGGAACGGGTACGTGACCAGCCTTGTCGACCATTAGGGTATCATGATTTGCCAAATGTACACGCGCGTTAAGCTGAAGCATGTGAGTGCGGTACCACTGCAGTTACGGTGTCTAATTGGATTAGTCTATAGGGATGTAAGATGACTGGGAAGCAAAAGGATAAGAGACGACGTACCACTAAATGTGAGTGTGTGAAGGTAAAACTTATACAGATGGTCAATCTGATCGGTGATGAGTTCTTGTATTGCCATGGTGGCGTTCCTCGATGGTGTTGCTATGACAACAAACCAAGGATGTTCCCCTGTTACTGAAGGACCAAGTTGGAGATGGCTAGGACCTGTTGAAAAACTATGGACATATTTCAAATGAAAACTGTACGTAACGACTCTTAGAATATGTATCATTTAAAAGTTGAACTAAAAAAAGTTATCTCCAAGTCATTTGTTGCACACTACAAACCACAATTTAACTTGTCTACATCACAAATTTGTCGTATATGTGATTCCAGCCTGTCCTCACATCCACCGACTGCAACACAGAGTCACTGTATTACTAGCCTGTCCTCACATCCACCGACTGCAACACAGAGTCGCTGTGTTCCTAGCCTGTCCTCACATCCACCGACTGCAACACAGAGTCGCTGTGTTACTAGCCTGTCCTCACATCCACCGACTGCAACACAGAGTCGCTGTATTACTAGCCTGTCCTCAGATCCACGGACTGCAACACAGAGTCGCTGTATTACTAGCCTGTCCTCTGATCCACGGACTGCAACACAGAGTCGCTGTGTTACTAGCCTGTCCTCAGATCCACGGACTGCAACACAGAGTCGCTGTGTTACTAGCCTGTCCTCACATCCATCGACTGCACCACAGAGTCGCTGTATTACTAAGAGGGAATCCTCTACTCATTTTATAAAACATGTTGAAATTGCACTTCGTTGGACATTGGTCAGCACGTGCCATTCATGATGCAAAACAAATATTTGAAGTGGCTTACTGCAGGAGGTTGATTTGTTTCCTTAACCTTATATTTGTTTGCAGTACTCTGGCAAAGTTTTCCATTTAGACAAGCTGAGTACCGTCAAACAGAAATGACCCGCTGTGGAACCGGAAGCCTAGACTTCGGAAGTGTTTTAACTGAAATAATTCTTAAACAATGAATAGTAATCTATTTATCACAGTATGATCTTTCATTCAATTCAGTTGCAATTTTTTAGAGGAAATTGTGACTTGGTTATTACAACTATGGAGGTCCACATTGTCACACATTACTTGCTGAGAAACTGAATTTAACATCATTGTAAAATTATGCGCATCTATAAATAGGAGCATCCACAAAGCACAATACATCCTTCATTCCCTATAAAACCTGTGCAAAGTAACTCTACAAGAGTCCAATCTTTATTAAACTCAGCACATGTGCACTGAGCACATCAACGGTTAACGGTAACTTTCTGGCTGACCTGTCTCGAAACGCCTGTTTCGAAAAACTGAGAACTTCATAAACTTTGAGTCAAATGGATTCATGGTGAAGGAATTACCTCCTACAAACTTGGTACGGCCAAGAAAATGAATTTACTTTGATGACGCTGTTACCAAGTTTAGACAACATGATACATGTTTTGTTTGTGGGAAAAAGTTCCACATACTGACAACACTGCCTAGTGCAGAAAAGTAGGAGACTTGCCTGAAAAAACCTAAGTGTTTTCTTAGTAAATAATGTTTGGGAATTTTCCCAGCTAAATTTCACTTTTTAGGACATGTTATCACTTTCCAATGGCTGTTATAACATTTTACATGTTTTAAGGACAAATTAATGTTGTCCGTATGTGGAACCCTTTCCGGATCTGGGACTCCTAGGGCTAGAGAATAGAACGTCTTCGTACATGTACACTGTGCTACTGCTACATAGCAGAGTTATCTATTTAGACCAACATAGTGCGGGACACAGATTCAGCTTCAGTGGGGTCCTTTTCACGTCCAGCCATAAATCAAACGCAGTGCATCAAAGAGGTCGTGCAGCCGTTATTTTAAAACACGGGTTAGGCCTACCACATGAAAATAATTCAGACGTGGCAAGGGTGATCAAGGATGGGATTTATTCTTCAACTTCCAAGTAATAATGCCCACACACATAGCTCAGACGGGGACAAAAGGGCACATGTGCATAAGCCTATGTACATTCATACATCATGTAATGTACATTGTACATCAACAGATCACGGCATCCATCACGATCATCACACAAAACTACCGGAAGGACCGAACCAAGGTTCTCCCTTTTTCAAAGACAACTCTTACCAATTTCTTTTCAACCTCCAGCGTACACTTGCGACGTTTGTAAGCTAAATTAAATCTTAAAACCTGAGATCTGTTAGATGAATGTACGAAATGACAAACCGCGTTCACGAGGATGCCTACACCTGCTGGGGCCCATGGGAGGGTGGGCATGCGCGAGACAGGTGCGAAGTTACCCATTCATTCATATCAAGCGGTCTCGATAGATACGGGTACCCTGGAAAATGCCTGACAATTTATTTAACCAATCAGTGGATGTGTTATTTACTAGAGGTGGTGTCGGTTTCTGCATGCTTAGTTTCGTATCCATAATACTATTGGTCATCTTTTTTTAGTCTCACAAAACACGCCCTGGCCGGTTTCACTTTCAAGGATAGGGGTTTATCCTTGTATTTTTTCATTAGAAAATATTGGACGATACAAGATGTATTTTACAAATAATCCCACAACATAAACCCACGCTATTATACACCTAAAAATTAATTATACTTCTCAATTAGACTGCTCTGTGAACATTATTTTTTTCAAATGTAGAAATTTTTAATATAACTGTAACCCGTTAGAAAGTAGTAAATCATTACCTTTGACCCGCAATAGCGCGTGTGTAGAAAATATAGCCGGCGCCGTCGATCGACCGTGATCGGACGTTGTTTGGATACCATAACAGCCGCCAAAAATGGTAAAAAATCTAAGTAAAATGATCTCTTACGAAGTGTTTTTTAAAATTTCCCTTCCTTTGTGTGATTGGTGATTCACGTGGTAGAAAGATTGTAAATCGCAGCTTCAGTTTGCAGCTCAACACGTTGGTTCAGTAGTGAAGTTTCGACCCGTTATACAGCGCTAGGCTGCACGCAACGGGTGCGGTTAGCCAGCGGCCGGTACAGTAGCGCAGCCTAGCTGGCCGTAGCGTTGACATGCATATCCACAATATCATCAGGGCCTGTTTAAAGTATAATGTTGGACCATGGAGGAATAATGGTTGGACTATGGACTTGACCATAGTACAGTCATGACCGAACCGTGCGAGAAGCGTGTTGAGTGAATAAGTTCAGTAAGTTAGAATAAGCTCACCGACCTGCCGACATGACATCCTTCCGGATCCTGTTAGCCTAGTAGTACTCGCAAGTTAGGCCTAAACTTCAAGGATAGGCCTCTTCAGGTGATGGTGGTATTCCTAACAAGCGGCCTGTTCCATCAATGAATGAATGACCTGTCAAAACTTAATTAATTTTCTAAAGTTACTTAACCCACTTTCAAATCTCAGCCCCCTAAATATAAGGACACTGTCGCTCCTTTTTGAAATCGGGGTTTAAAAAGTGTCCAAAAAAATGGTCAACAATAATAAGATATAAGGACATTTAATTTTTAGAACCCTGTTCTTGGAAAATGGAAATTTTCTAGAAATTCTGGATATTTGTGCCATAATTACTACACCTGTTTCCGTTGCAGCCAAGAAGACATGGAACTTTTAGAAGGAAAGCAAGTTTCTCAACACACTAATTTTTAGGTTCAAATTTTCTCCTTTTTTCTCCCTTTCTGTCATCACAGAGATATCTTCCCACAAGGAACAAGAGCTTTCACATTTAAACAGCAGGATTCCCATATAACTTCATCATCATGGTTGGTGTGGTAGAGTACATTAAAAGCAAAGTAGCATGGGCAGAGAGTGTGGCAGGTAAGGCTATAGATTGAAATCGCACCACACGCTTGGACAATGTCGCTTAAATATCTTCTCAGTCTTGGGGAAAGCCTGCACATTAATGCAACAGGAGTGTAAAGCTCCTCAATGGAAGATCTCTTTTTCAAGATTTTTTATAACAGATCTTTCAACCTCCACATGAGGGGGACTAGCCTGCGGTACATCTTTCTCCTTGAACTTCCCACTAGGAGAATTTTTCTTAGCCTAAGAAGAGAACAGTGCACAAGCCATTATTGATTAATTTTTATTTTCATTTATCTGCTTTCAAGGAGGAAAACAATGTACTGAAATGATTTGCACATATTTAGTTGTAGAAATTTTGAACATTCAAAAAGATTGTTTTTCTTTTCAGACCCAAGAACAAAGGACTGGTTCCTTATGGACAGTCCAGTGCCATCCTACAGCCTTGTCATGCTTTATCTCATGGTTGTTTGGTGGGGACCACGCTACATGGCTGACCGGAAGCCCTTTGACCTCAAGTACATCATGATGGCCTACAATTTGGCACTGGTTGTACTGTCTGCCTACATGTTTAAAGAGGTACACACTTGGTTACATCCTGAACGTTAATTCTTGGGGTTTATGTGTTGGAGCACCGTGGGGTGCGTTCGCGCGGTTACTCCTGTTAACACGAGTAGGATGCGTACGAATTACACTCGGGTACACGAGTATACTCCCCCTCTAGCGAGAATATTCTCTTACTGACCCTCGGGTCGTACTCCAGCCATTTGAGCGTTCAGGATTATACTCGTGTCAATGCGAGTAGCTTGCTCGAACACACCCAGAGAAATCAAAAGTGTAAATATAAATTTCAGAGCCACACCGTCTTTTTTTAGCTGTGGAGAATGTGCTTATAGACAGAACCTTGCAGGGAGACTCAGATCAAACGAAATGTGTCTCACATCCAGATTTGGCCACAATATGACAATTATTGCAGGATATTATAGTACAGTGTTGAAGTTTGGAAGAATCTTCCCGGTAAAATTACCAAAAGATGTTAGGGCAGATCAAGTACATGAAATAAGAAGATATTATCTCTACACTTTTGGTTTATTCATAGTTCTTCGTAACGACAATCCTGAACCCCAACTTCAATTCGGTGTGCCAAGCTGTGGACTACTCAGAGGATCCGATGGCACTCAGGGTGAGTACTCACTCTACAAAAGAGTTTGATCTGCTGCGAGAACTGTCAGTTGAGGGTGTTGTGTTGCCTAGCAATGGTAACCATGGGCAGCCATGCATAATTAATGCATGCACGGCCACCCAACAATTTTTCAGAGTGTGTGTAGCAGTGCGTATGGGTCTTCCAACCAAGCATGCCAAGACAGCTAAGTTTTCAAATTTGAAAATCGGCATTTTTGACTGTTGTTATGTCAATTGTCTTCACAGCTGGCTGCTGTTTGTTGGTGGTTCTTCTTCTCCAAGGTCATTGAACTTCTTGACACTGTAAGTACCCATAACTGGCTCCAGTTCCATTGGTCTTTATGGCTGGGATCATGTTTGTGTAATCATTTCAAGAAATTTAATGGACTGCTGATGTTTTATGTTGCATTTTCTTTTTCTATTCAGGTCATCTTCATCCTCCGGAAAAAGAACAGCCAGATTACCTTTTTGCATGTCTACCATCATTCTACAATGGTCCTGTTATGGTGGATCGGAGTACGATGGGTCGCTGGTGGAAATTGTAAGCTCTTGCCTTTTTATCATGTAATTTACTGATTTATTTATTTCTGTTGTGATGCTTCCTGTTCTAAAACTCAAGCAAATCAAACACACTTCCTGACACTCACTATTTACAACCTTGTTCCCGTGCAGCCTACTCTTCCGGCATGGTGAACTGCCTGATCCACACACTGATGTACTCCTATTACTTCCTGTCTGCCTTGGGACCAAGCGTGCAGCCATTCCTGTGGTGGAAGAAATACCTGACATCCCTCCAGCTGGTAAGCCCCGCCCCCTCCACTCAGTGTGAAATAAACCAATAACAATGCTCCTCACTAAGTGCATTTAGCAAGGCGTCATGTGATTGGCTTATATGTTAACCTGTTGACTCATCTGAAAAATGGAGACAAATTCAGTTAAGTGCAATAAAGCAGTACACTATATTTGAAATTACCTCAAAAGCAATTTCCATATATGATAAAAACTGCAGTATTATTTTTGTTTTTCTTCATATCGTTCTAAGTAATTTACCTCCTCATATTTCGTATGGCTTTATTCCGTCTGCAGCTTCAGTTTTTCGGCATCATGATTCATAGCTTTGTTACCCTCTACCTGGACTGCGGCTTTCCTGACCCTTACGTCTACGCCCTCATTGGTTACCTCATCTCTCACATCATCCTGTTCTCCAACTTCTACCGCAAGAGCTACGGCAACAAGGACAAAAAGAAGAAATCCGGCGATGCTACCTCTGAGCAGGAACAGGCAGGGGGCAGGCGTTACAACCTGCGGCAGAGATCGGGTAAGAACTAGCTCCCCTGTAGCAGGTGTTTGTATTATAATTGATTGGGTTGTCATCTGCAACATTGGCTCTTTGATTCATTAACGAGAATCAAACTTTTAATGAAGTGGTATCATTTTGTGTAAGTTGTAATGTGTGACTGCCAAGTTTGAGTTGTGCTGATTTTGTTTTTGACCGGATGAATTTGCTTTGATTGGAGTAAAATTAGATTAGATGTTTTTTTAATGTTTTGTCCATTTCTTACTTAATCTGTAGGCTGCTCATTTTTAATATTGGTACAGAAAAACACTGATATTTGAAATAACATTTAATTGAAATAAAAATGCCTTGTCCTGTTTAACTTTTCAAAAAAGTTAAACCTGTTTTGAAATCTATACTTATTAAATTTAAATAAATCTCATGGACAATGATTATTTGAAATCACAGCTAATTTGTTTCAGTGATGTTTCCTGCAATAGGCAAGATTGTCTAAGTGTCAATGGCCAAAGGTGGCATCAACATACTTCTCTCAGGAATAAAGACAGAGCTTGAAGCAAAACTTAAGTTTGGAAATTTTTTACCTATTTCATTTTGTTAAGATATCCTTTGACAGGGTAGGTTGTCAATTTGCAGGGAAACATAAAGATTTGTATACCTCAAATGTGTGGATTTCTTCACATTGTCAAAACAGCATCCTCTCAAGTAATCACTGCAACTATAGCAAGGAGAAATTAAAAAATACTTTCAATGATATTGAAAGACATTTTGTTATTTTTACTGGATACTAGGAAAACAGCTGAAAATTTAAGACAGGAACTGACCTGGAGGTCTGAAGTCTACTATGCATTGTATTTGTACTTCAAAATTTGTATTTTACGCCTAGATTGATTTTCTTGCATTGGTTTATATGCCTCAGCAAAAGTGGGCAATTTGTTTCATTGAATTCACCAAAAGTACTTATTTTGTACATGTAGTTACTGGTACTTGAATTTCTTGAATCGTTTCAGATATACTTTTTACGTTTGTAAACATATACTTCATGAAGCAGCTTTTAAGATGTTGAAAGGCAGCTGTACATTGAGGTTGGGTTTTTTGGTCTGTTGGCTGAGATTTTTACATTATACTGTCTCATTTCTGAAATATGTGAGGTGAAATTTATATAGAGCTTTTAGAAAAAATAGCTGTTTAGAATTAGATGTGTGCTGAAATTGGCTATTTTGTGTAAAATGTTGCTTAATGATTTACCGAAATGTTAGACAAGCTTTTTAGAGCAATTTTGGTATTTGAATGTTTATTATATGTACAACATAATGCCATGCTTTGTTTACATGTGCACTGCTCTACGGCAGTGAGGTGAGACATGATCCACAGTGCATCTTATGAAACTGCCTTACCCCTACCTTTGTGTAAAATTTTACAGATCAAGACTGAAGAGAGTAAAAATTTAACGTTGACTTCAAATATATCAGAATCAGGAATTTTTAAATGAGATGAGATTTGACGATTTTTGCCCTCACAAGTAGAAAATGTAGCTGTCATGTTTCATATTTATAGTTCTAATGCCGTTATGTATCTGTCTTGTACTGCAGTAGTTTTGATTGAGGTGCTTCTATTAAATGAATGACAATCAATTAACATTGTCTCGTATTGTGCCTTGGATAGTCAATGAAGGTTAACCTGTGAACACAGACGTGTAGTCATTTGCAAAAGTTTTGAACCAAACACATAATACATTAACCATACAAAACCAAACAATAATAATCCTCTGATTTCAATATAATTTGACATACATGTACATCCTATGGGGTTAGGGATCAATGAATTAATCATTTCAGATGCGTAATCTTACCATCTTGGTTGAACAAATATTTGTCTTCACTTTGTAATACGAAATTTTTATCGTCTTATATTTAGTGTGGCCTCTAATTGGTACTTGGTTAGTGTAGTTGTAATAACTTTGTCTGAAGGTCTCGTGCATCAGCATCAGTAACATGTTGGGGCAGATCTTTCCATAATCCGTTTCTGATGACTTAAGACTTTTTTACCCACACCAAACTACAGACAAAATGTCATACAGGACCTGCCTTTGCAAAATATTTCATTCAAATGGGCTTATAGCACAACTCTGATGTTATGGACTACTGTAAAAACATGTTATGTAATCATTCAATGAGACAACATTCAGGACCAGTAATAAACACAAATATCAACAATTCCAGGTGGTCTTAAAACTTTTGGAAATGACAGTATACGAGAATTTGACTCGATACTTGATATTTTAAATCAGAAATTCTGAGGCTGTCTGAATTACTTGGCTACGGCTTGAAATTACATGCGACCATGAGAAGCGGCTGTAACCACAAGCTCGTGCAATTTCAAGCCACAAACAAGCAACTTGAACACGGCTACATTGTCTGCCTATTCTTGTGTCATCTTTATAATGATGACTACATGTACTGTTACACACATTGTTACACACATAAACCAACATGGGGCAGATCTTTTTCAAAATGGTAGACAGGTGTCAATTGCAATCCATTAAAAAGAGGGTCAAGACACAGTTCACAAAATTCATTCTCAAAACATGTTTTCTTCCTTTCCTTTTATTTTCAAACGTGTTAATTTACAAAAGCATTCTTGGCAAAACAAGCGGCTGCATAATGAAACAAAATCAAGAAATTAATGTGATATCCTTGGTGATAACAGAAGTAGTTCTCAAAATGAATTTTACAAAACAAAGTCGAAACTACTAATGTGTATACCGGGTATGTTACAAAGCGCACACGTTAATACTGTTCAAAGGTATCCTAAACAGTAATGAGTAAACTTTCTAAATACTAGATTAGGCCAAACTACGACTATGCATTCTGAGTGATTGTTAAAAGCATTCTTTCTAAATTAAAATGCAAATTCTAGCCTTGGACATTTTGTCCTGATATGCACTTCAAACTAAACATTGTTTTGCATATTTAGTAGCACCACAATCAGATAAATTATAAGTTTTAAAACATCGGCCTCTGTGTTGCAAATATTTCGTCATTCAGTCATGTTCATAATCATTCTGGCTGGTTACTACTTTGGAGTTCTGTTGACCAATGAAGAACACTACCATTCTTACTACTGTAGATCTGCATTGTGACCATAAATGTGCAGAACAAGTCTACATGTGTGTGAATGCGTTAGCTAGCTGCTTTCGAGTCATTATATACACTTTCATCGTACTAAAAATTACAGCTACGGTTTTTATTAACAGGAGGGGAATGATTTCCACCAAAAGAATTATCAGCGTATCAACTGACATCAGCTGACTCTAGGATCTCACCTCTGATGACAGCAGATCCTGGAATTGAAATGTAACACTGGAGGGATTTGCAACTTTGACGACAGGAAGAAACTGAAGTAGGGTGAAAAGAATCGACGGGGAAAGATCTCGAAATTCACAAATAGTTCTACGAGTTGTGGATGTCCAAAGTCCAGCATGTGGCTTTAATTACATGTACATGTTTGGTGCTCGGACAAGTGATGCTTAGAATTCATCATGTCTCTGCAAGCTCTCGCCGTAGTTAGTTGCTTGGCTGCCGACGAACAGATCATAATTATCAATTATCTCCTTCTTAGTCAGCTTCTTGTCCTGAAATTGGAGAAAGAGGACCGAATAAAAACCACATCAGATAAGGAAATTTTGTAGGATTCTATAGGATTCTGGTAGATGAAACCTTTTATGGGGATTGAACTTGACAATTAGACCATCCCTCTGGGCTTCTTCATTGTACTGACTGTCAGAGAAATCAGGAAGCAAACAGAATACTGACTGCCAGTATTATGTAATATTTGTGGACAGTCTGGCTACTGTTTTTTTTCTTGGGCCTTGATCTTCTCTGTGCCAAGTTCACACACTGGAAGACTCAAGCACATTGAAATAAGAAGCAGTTACAGGTTTTCAGGTGGGAGGAAAACCCCAGAAAAATATTCCTGGAAAAACCTATGAAATCAGGTAGAAACTGAACACCCAATCCACATGTGAACCAAGCTGGGATTTGAACCCGGACCGCAGAGGTGGAAGGTGAGGAAAGAACCACCACTCCAACCTGACTCCCCACTGATACATGTATTCACCTTCAAAGGCATGGAGAAAAAGGTTTACAGCAAAGTTTCAAAACATGTAAAAGCTCCCTGCAGAACCAAAAAAGGAATTCCCTTTTTGAAACTGAATGTTCTTGCTGCTTTTTGGGAGCACAACACATTCATGGTCCAAGCAGCATTTTCAAAGTTTCTCAACATGTCCAAGTCCATAATTAGCGAAGTTAACGATTCGGTTTATTCACCACAAAAATGTGTACTACATTGATTGATAAAGATGTACCAAAGGCAGAAACTGTTTCCAGGTTCAGAGTTTATTTGCTAATCTTCTCAAAATGAGTATTCGGTGAGGTTTTTTTTCAGACACCCAAATGCCCACAAGGAATTCCTGCCTCACCTTGTCTTTGTCCGCCTCAAATATTAGATGTTTAGCCTCTGCTTCTATGTGGTCGTATTCTGTTGGCAGGATCCATTCCCCGACTTCTTCAAGATCCATGAAACCATCATGGTTCTTGTCTCTGAACTGTGCAAACTGCTCGCGTTCCGTCTTTACCCATTCAGGCTCCTCAGCGCCATCGTTGTTCTCTCTGTACATGTCTCCTGCAGTGTCCACAAAGAAAGATTCCTCTACATGCTGAACAGCAAAACTTGGTTAATATACCCAACGCCACAGGCTGTCTCCAAAATGGGCTTCAAGAGCTATGGTTACACCTGTTGTTGATATACATGTACGTGGTGTTGGCAAAGACCTAGGCCTAGCTCTAGAAACAAGTCTTGGACGTGGCAATGAATAACATCCTTTCAACTTCTCTACTACTACACTGCTAGTTACACGTATATTCCATTGAAGTAAAAACAAAGTCCCAAGTACTCACATCTTTGGCCATTTGTTTCAAGATCAGTGATCTCAATATTGGTTTCCTCCATCCCTTACACGGGTTCTGGAGTCATTGAACCAATGCTGGTTCACTGATTGTGATCCGGATCCGCGCGAATCAAACAGGCCCTCAAACTTACCAATGTACTCCTCCAGGGAGATCTTTCCATCTCCGTCCTTATCCACATCTTCCAGGGTTTCCTGCACAACGATTCCTCGCATCCTGTCAAAGTTCTCGGGATGGAGGAAGGCGGTGAATTCCTCCCGGGAAAGGATGCCATCTTTGTTCTCGTCGGCACTGGCCCAGCGTGCCTTGTCCCGTCTGATCATTTTGGCAAAGTCCATTCGTTCATTCTCTGGTAGTTTGACCAACTCCTCCTCTGTGTTTTCATTGAAAGATGGGACGCAGGGATTTGTCAGGACCATGGAAATGGAAGATGGGAAGAAACGCTGATGATTCTCTCTTACAGTCATGAATTGTCCAACAATTGGGCAATTTAGAATTGTTAGGGTGAGAGTATTTAATTACAGTTGATATTATATATATCATTTTTTATCATATTGACCAATGTCACCTTTTTTCCTTCCATTTATCATCTATTTACGCATGAATAAAAAATTAAACCGACCAGCAAAGCAAAGGAAATGGCTGTCCAAACTTACTAAAGTAAGGTTGCAAAGGTGAAAATTCAGTTTTATATTTGGAACAATTTGATCTAGGGTTGACACAAAAAGGGAATCTTCTGCTATGGCTGAAACCAATGACTATGGCCCATTTTCTGACATGAGTAACATGACTCATGCTTGAAAAATTATGAAGATTTAACCACAGCTCTTTTCTACAATATTTTTCTTTCCTTCTAACCAACAAGGGCCGCTGAATCTCAGATTGGTTTCATCATACATGTAGATCCCAAGGAAGTAATGTAAATTAAATCAAAACTTCCAAATGTTTCTTCAGTTGCATTTTGGTGAGAGATACAAGACGTCTTATCATAGAATATAAATGAAATAAAGTTAGTAATGACAACAAAACGCATCATGCAAATGAGGACATGAAATTGGGGAGAGCTTCAATTTAGATGAATTACAACATTCCTAACCTCACACAATCTTTTTCCCTAGTAAAAAAAGATTCAAAAATTACTCCTAAAATCACCAAGTAGTTGACATTTTTCATCAATTGTGAATTGAAGCAAGATTTTTTATGAACACTAAGATAGTGGAACATTCTAACTTCTCTTGAGAGACTCCCAAGAGTCTGAAAGAAATCCTTCAATTTGCAATATGGCATTGGCTTGACAGCCTCCACATAATAGTAATAACAAATGTGAAGGCATACACCTACATGTACATGTAGTAAAGTAAAGTCAGCTGAAAAATGAAGCATACTTGCATGTACATGTATGCACATGTAGGCCTATATATTGACCACATTGAGTACATACAGTGTACTTGTTAGTGGGTCATCACTGTACGAGCCTTTATTAGCATTGCAGCAGTGTTGAAAGGCAAGAGATTTTACCATGCTTTCTTTTTTTTTTTCAAACACATGCAAGGAAGAGGGTGGACAACTTCAAAAGGTAGGGGAAAAAGAATCCAAGCTACACAACACTCAGCGCTATAGTTTTCATCTTGTAATGACGCCCTGTTCTGAGGGAAATGTTGACGTGCTTGACTTTTGTGACAATTACTGCTTTTACTCTGTGTTCGTAACAGAAAATCGATGTGGTTTACAACGGGAAATGGTGCAGTGTACTCAGGCTAACTGTGCACATTTGGGTAATGATTTGCCTCTATCTCTCCCTCACCAACTTCTCCGAATGTGCTTTGCAGGTACTGGTCCCATTCAACGGTTGTTTCAAACCCATTTGAATCCCATGTCTGCTGAGAGTGATCGTCTAGGTACAGACTCTGTGAGTTCAAACGATACAACACCGATCAATGCAAACTTCACTTCCGGATGCTTGAAGGACCACGAGGGCTGGTCTGGTTCCTGTACAGAAAATCTTACTCTTGGTTTCTTGAAGAATCACCTTCACACAGTATTAACTCTGGGTTTAGGTATGTCTTCAACCATTCATTCAACTTGTCCATTATGAAACAAAAGACTCAATGACTGACAAAAATGAGAGTGTATGTACCTGCAATAAACATAACATGGTCCCTGAAACAAACATGGTTCTAAACAAAACAGCCAAACTGCATGAACATGACGTGAAACAAAGGTTCCAGGGGACAAGTTGCCACATGGTGCTCTTTTCCAAGTTATGCCAGATTCAAATTGTTTTGATCTCATGAGGGAAAGCGTTTTGTAAGAGGGGAAATGTTGAATATTTGATTGCACTTTGCACAGACAGCTGGGTACACTTGTCAATCGAAATTACCCGAATGCAACAGGCTGTCCAATTGAGAATGTAAGAATCAAGGAGTAGCTTTAAGCAGGTGGTTGGCATAGATTAGAGCAATGAGGATGAGGTAAACCAAGTTGTAATGGTTTCCCGAGTGACGAGCAAGCATGGGATAAGTAAGCAAGCATATCAAACAGGTAAGCTGCATTTATGATGAGAGTTAAAGGGTACTAAAATAAAATGTGGCTACCCTTAAATCAAGACTTGAACTGCATGACCTTTCTCCATGTTGTACCTTGGTCGCAAGATGCCACTTAGTGAAGTTTCACTTGCTTTTATGCAGTTAATGGCTCTGGCCTTCATTTATAAGCAAAGTCACGGCCAACTACCCACTTCCTGTATCATGTAAGTGTGACTGAAGTAGCATATCAGCTCACTGAACAATGACCCACGACATATTTTAATTTAATACTCAGTCTATAACCCACAGTGGGGATTAGGAAAGAAACAAAAAGATGATTTGAAAGAAAAATATTTAGTCTCTGTCTCACATTCGTGAAAACAGAACCATAATCATCTGTCATACATGAACATCCAATTTACACTCCACACATTATCTAGCATGCAACTTGGACTTGGACAAAAGAAATGAGGAAATTCCAATCTTTAAGACTTGGTAGAGTGTTTTTAATATTTTGTCCATTTTCAAAATGAGCAAAATTAGCCGATCCACGGAAAAGTTGCATGCCTGCATTACGCAGCAGAATATGATCATCATGCGTTGTTTTTAGGAATGGAACTACAGACACTAAAATGAAAACAAAAGATGACATGCAAGGAAATCTTGAACTAAAATAAGATCTTGAGTCAGAAACATTAAAATGCTTCCTACTGTGGATACACGAGGTTAGTTACGCCACTACCCAGGGGAAAAATTAGTAGGGAAACAAACACAAAGGGCTCCCTCTGTTGTCAGTAAAGTGCCAACACCAGCAGTCAAATGGTGGTCGCACGTGGCAGTGCCCTCACCGGCTAAACTGCTGTAAGTGGTGGAATTGTATTCCTCCCATGTCATTTGGTCATCGCTATCGGGGTTGTGGCTTTTCCAAAGGGTGCCAGCATCCTCGAAAAAGTACTGCTCCTGTAGCGTAAATTTAAGGGTTAGGGCCAATTTGAGCCAAATCACAAGGTCTCCTGTTAGAGAAATGTCTCTTGTAGCTAAATTTGCAGGAAAAACCATGCGAATGTTACGACATTGTTCAACAAGTTCACATGTTTTGGAAAGCTTACAGTATTTCTGGCTCCGATTACGATCGCACTTTCTTTTATGGAACCTCACCCATGTTACCGCTAATTAAAAATCTTGTGAAAGTGGCATGAACTCATCTGTGTACACCACTGCCTGTAAGTACTTCAGGCTTACAGTGCAGTATTGCCTTCGCCTAAGTGAACATGAATGGATTTTTTTAAAAACTGCAACCAGATGATTTGGCACTGAATGACCCACAGCGACCAAGCTTAAGCATGCGGTAATAGTTAACGTGTTTGAAAAATCAAAACACTTGGTCTTGGTCAGAGGGCGCCCTGTGTGTCTAAATCCTGCCAACCACCCGTTAGAAGCATCATGAGGGGATGATTGGTATCTAACGCCGAGTCCGAAAGTGAAACCCTCACCAGAAAGACTACTAAAGGTCGTGGCATTGTACTCATCCCAAGAGAGTTTGTCGTCTAGGTCTTGGTTACGATTTTTCCAATGCATTGCCGAATCTTCATAGGCGTACTTATGCTGTGGTAGAGTTGCATATTGTACGGGAAAATAATGAAGATGCTGGCATAAATTGTTGATAGCAAGAAAAAAGGAACTACACACATGAGGCGAAACGAAGCCATGAGCACTTTGACAAAACTAGTACTACACAAGGATTTTTTACACTGAAACAACAAAATGTGTTGAAATTCAGACTCCACTTGTTAAGAAACTTTCTGTGCATAAATAGCCCCCAAGTCGTAAGGATCGTAAATGTTTTCAGTTTCAAGCAAAATTTTGGGTACATGTAGGTGATTAAGTTCCTTTTTACATTGACATAATAAACCATTATTTTGGGATTCCTTTTACCAACATTAAGACTAGAGAATCCGGCAAATGTGGTTGTCAAGAAAGAAATGCTGCTTTTAACAGGATATTGTCTCGCCTCGTAATTCTTTCCACTTTCATGCTTGTGTGTTTTTGTTAATTCATTTACAATTAATTTAACAGGTGCTCAGCACAAACTGAAAACATACCTGCTGGTGCTCAATCCACTTTCTTAATTCTTCTTCAGTTACGAAGCCATCTTTATCTTCATCAATTTTGTCGACAATCATACTAGAAAAGGAGTACAAAAACAGAAGTTGCATTATAAAGCTGTAGTTTCCTTTCATAGGGGTAGATACTCACACGGTTGCAGTGCTCCTAACTGTGCCTTCGGAATGCAACACAACAATGCCTAAGCCTAAATGGAACTTCAAGGAACTAACATGAACATCAATCATACAATTTGGAACTGTGCAGTCAGATTTTGCAAAAAGAATAGGGCCTATGGAGTATTACTGCATGATTGAACAGTCCTCAAATTTCAATGATTTTAGGGCACGGCCATTTTGGCCTCAGGTAAGTGGACATTTTAAGGGGCACCGGGGCCAAAAGCATGGGCAACAAGGCCATTTTTTGATAAAAGAAAGGCACCAAGGCCAAACACTGTTTTGGGGCCAATTATTCTAGAGTCAAAAACCCTGCTAGATATGATCGATGATAAATCCAGGCTGAAACTTCAGTTGAAGGCTGTAACTTTTGTCAAGTGACGTCGGCAGCTGCGTGCACACACCTCCGGCTGTGCATAGCGCCCTCTTGTGTTTCGCTTTCTGGGAATTTATCAGCTATTATATACGTTGCAATATGCAGAAATAGCCCTGTACAGCATGACCATTATGGAATGGACGTGACTTTGCATGAAGTGAATTTCATGAAGCTTGTAGCATGAAGATGATTGTCCGTCATTTCGCCGCACCACAAAACTAATTCTTTGTGTGGATTTAAGATCGGCAACTTACGGGAAATAAAAGGTACAGTTTCAGGAAGCACCATGGCCGAGATGAAAGGGGCACACGGCCATTTTTGACGGCGTGTTTGCACATACCTAAAAATATGGGCATTTCATTTTAGCCCAGTGTTAAGAACAAGCATAAATGAGTGAGGACACTGTTTATTTGGAAACTTGTGATTAAATTTCATCTCTTTCTGCACGCTGTAGCTCTTCTATCTAATTTCAAATTTCAAAATTTTTGAAATTTCAAGTGAAGCCAGCATATTCAATTCACTTAAATAAAGCACAAATAAGAAGGAAGATCCTATAAAAATATGAATTAAGAGCTTTTCAGTTAGAATCTACACTTATCTGCTTCTTTTTGTGTACGAAATAATCACAGTTTGCTCTGCATTACACATGTAAGCCTAGGCCAACAAAATATCTCAAAACATTCCGCTTCAAATCAATTTTTCTTTGCATAGTCCAATGGAATGCAAACATACATCAAAATATTTCTTATGAAATCCTCTCCAAGATTATTTTAAAAAAAATGGAAATAATTTCTTTATAGTTATACATCATGTTACAAGTAGCCTCCCTAGCCAGCAGTGTGACAAATTTTTCAATAATAGCAGAATAGGGGCTTAAGCTATATTCAACATTTCCCAAGTTCTTGGGACATGCTATCGCTGTTATCTGGTACCTGATTGAAAAATAAGTGGTGTCCGTGTTTGGTACTCTTTCCGAACATGCCGAAATGACTGTGCTCACGGTACTATTCAACGGCTCTTCAGGCAATTTTGCCCGCACGTTTTGATCACGCCACGTTCTGGGGTTTCATGCATTCGGTAGGCTAATCAATGTCGGACTCACCCAAGCCTTTTTCTGCTCTCCTCTGGACTCAGATTCTGGAACGTTTTCGCCTCTTCTTCCCCAAGAAAAGCATCGTGGTCATAATCAACGTTGTGTTGTTTCCCTTCGAAGTGTTCCTCATCGCTGAGTTTGGCATCTTTCACTCTCTTATGCTCGTCTTGTTTTTCTGCCGGTTTCGCAAAAGCCACCACCAACAGCACACAAACGAAAGCGGCGAATGCGGTACCCTTCATTTTCAGTTTGTTTAAGGCAAGTTATGGCGTGAATAAATACAAAAAGAAACCTGAGTTGCAGCTATTACTTCTCTCAAAAGACGCCTGCACCTTTTAAAAATGTAACAGAAGGTTTAGAAAAGCTGCTGTAGCTAACAGTTGTGTGATTTCACTAACGATTTCACGAGATGCAGACCTCGAATTTATACTAGCTCGGCGGTGGAGACGTGGATGGTTGACAGGTCATCTTTATGACCCTGGTCAAAGGTTAGAATGGACCAATCAAAGCGTGCATATTTTGCCTTTAGAAATTATAACCAATCATAGCTGTTGATCTTGACAGCTTGGGAAAAGCCATTAACTTTACAAAAGCCATTTTGATTGGGCTATTTTTGCCAACTTGGCAGCTTGATCGGAGATGATTGGCTAAAACTTGCCACGTCTTTTCCTCTTCTTGAAAAGCACGCATACCGCACCGTACGCATACGTGCCACGAGGGCATGCCCAGCCTCAACGCGGCCAGCTCTACTAAACAAGGATGACGTGTCGCCATGTGGATAACTTTGAGATATTTTGAGTGAAAAAAAGGAAAAGAAAATATTAAGATGACATGGGGAAAACGCTTGTTCAAAATGTACATGTAAAATGCAAAGAAATTTCATCATCAAATATTTCTTGGATGAGCAACAAATCAAATCTAGAAGACGTGGCCTAGGATGGGGACACGTGGAAGGAAAATCCAAACGCCTAAATTGCATCCCCCATACCTCTGAATGAATTATTTGTTTATGTTAATTTTTATTATTTTTTTTTTTCGAATGAGCCCAGGGATCTTTTAATTGTTTACACGTTTACATTGTGGTAGGGTGATGAGATGGCGACACCCCTCCCCCTTCAACCGTACCGCGATTAGTTCTTATCCATCTCCGCAAATCACCAGTAAAAATAACCAAGGAAGACTGCATTTCTTCCTGGAAACAAAGAGCAAATTGAGAAGGAAATCAGATTTGACATGTTTCGGGGGACGAATTCTGTTTACAGGTCCCCTTGCTTGGTATCTCGCAGATTCAGTCAGAACGCAGACGACCCCCAAGACGTAATGGCGGGAAAAAATTGATGCTATATTTAGCCTACCGTTGGCGGGAAGATTTAAATGCCCCCAAAGTGAATCAGCTGATGAACATACTGCGCACGGATCAACACGGGTCTGCGACTGGGCGATGGGATGTGGTTCAGTGATCTCAAGTGTTTTTGTTCTAGTAATTCTTGTGATTTAAGCCCTTTTTTCTTGTTCAAGTGGGGGCACCTTCTTGTGGATTTCCTGAAGAACGTCAGATCGTGCGTTTGACTGGTCGTGACTTGCGATATGATTCGGTGAGTGGAGTGATCACGTTGACTAACCGTGCTAATGTTGCACTTCTGTATGACGGCCCGGTGAGGCTACACGCAAGCTTAATGTGTTTATGATGGATCAGTAGGCTAACTAGTAGGCCTAGTAGTAGCTGGTGCGATAAACGAGGGCAGGGGGTAATTATATATCGGACAGCTTAATGAGAACTTTCCAGATTTGAGTCAGGTTTTTGTAGGAGGAGTGAGCATGGTGAGGGACCGGAGGCATCTTTTTCAAAATTTCGAGGCCTAGGGGCCTAGGCCTAGCTACAAAATTCAATAGTAGGCCTAGCCCTAGAATCGTTTGTCAAGCAAGACCCCATAAACTAGACCTAAGCCTACACCACAGCCTATCATTAATTAGCATACTAGGCTAGGCCTACATGCACATGAATGTCAGACAGTTTCAGTCCATTTACATGTAGGCCTAGGCCTATTTATTTAAGCCTTTTATCATTGTTCATCAGTTGGGGATAAGGCTTCGTGTTCTCAAGCTCCTAGGCCTGGGCCACATAAATGCCTAATTTGCATTTGGGGAAATAGGCCTAGAGTTTTATAAATGTAGAAGTTGTGTTTCTGAACAAATCACTGAGAAAAAGAACAATGTTGACCCATTTGTAAAATTAGCCTATTATCCACTCTACTTTTGTACTGCCTTTGTCTTTCATGTTAATGTTATGATACTTCTTTGCCTAAATTTTTGGTTCAAAACATGTTTTTGTTTTTGGTGAAATCCTCATTTTCTGTTTCAGTAACCCTTCTTCAACGCAAATCACAACCAAGGCGTATAGACGAAGTGTTCGCCTTCAGAACAAAGACTACCAAAATCACAAGTCATGGTGTATTCAGTCCGACCCACTCGGCTACTTTGCTCTTCTTCCAACAGAGTTGATGTATCATATCTTAAACACTTTGAGAAGTAAGCAAAACCATGTTCCATCCACACTCTTTTAATCCTTTGGCAATTTGATTCACAGAATAAAGCATTGCCTACACCTTCCATTTAAATGCGCATCCAAATCCATGCGCCTTTTGACCAGTGCATCTCGATTTTTAAATCCAAGAAAATAAAATTAATATTTTATCATATGCTCTTCTAAAATTAAACATTCAATTAACTCAAATATTGACCAACCAGTTTGTTTTATTAAAACTATATGTGACCCTTTGGCTATGTATACTTACACAACTCTAAGACTTGAAAGTAGCAGTTAGTCTGGCATCTCCTTCGATCATGTCCCCCACAACTTTTAAAAAGGGGTTCCCAGGGAAATAACGGTAAATAATCTTTATCTGGGAAAAAATGCCCCTCCCCTTATCTACAGTTGAGGACTTGGGTTTCCTAAGCATCACCTCCAAAGCATTCCGAGATGTCACCAGTAATTACATCAACAGCAAATCTGGCCTGAAGAGATTACAGCCAAAGCAGATGGTGACCTCTAAGAAAACTGGGTGCAAGCGAGCCATATACAACTATCAAGTGAACCACTTCAAGAACACTGGTGAGTTACAAGTGACCTTAAGAAATTTCCTGAAGAATTTCAGCATGATTCACATTGTTGAAAAATCAAAGGCTTTTTTAGTGAAAAGGTTTATTCGGGCCCTTTGCTAAGGGGGAGTTCCAAGGGGACGGGGCCCCTTCCCTGGCAGGAAGCTGGTCCCCCCATCGATAAAAAGCATCAGCATAAAAACTAAATTTTGTTCTTGTGATGTGGCCCCCCAAGCTGATACTATGGCCCCCCTGAATGCCTGAAGCTGGTGGCGGGGCTGGGTTTATTCAATCATATATACAAGCCATGTTAGAGCATGATCATGTGCATTTGAAATCATGTAAAAATAACAAATCAAAGTTTAGGGCAAACAGTCTGAAAACCCCTAAATGTCGACATATTTCCATTGCACAGACATCAAATTAATGATGTTTGTTCTCATTACTTTCCAAGGTCTACTCCTGAAGAGAATTACCTGCCTCTTTCCAACCAGAGAGCGACTCAAGATTGTGGAGTTTTTCGTGTCACAGGTGAATGAAGTCGTGATGATGTACAGTGGGCCAAATTCTGAGGCAACACTTACCACAGACAACTGCAATTGTGATCATCACACTATTCTTAATACTCAAGAAACTTTGAAGAATTTGAAGCTAAATAAGTTGTTACTGACATTGAAAGACTTGATTTTCGGAATTTTTTTCAAATTTTTGGAGACAATTTCTGAAACATTTTATACAGTTTCCTTCGATTCTCTCAACAGCTACAAAACATCCACAGGATATTCACCTGCCAGGCTTTGAGTTGCTATGGCAACCTGCTGAGTACATTCACACGAGGATGGGAAGAGAGGGAGTGTCTGAGGGCTTACATCACCGTCAGCGAAAATCAGAGCATGACCAGCAAAATCTGTAAATATAGAAATCTTACCTCACCTTACTCCTTAATTTCCTATCCATTGACTATCACCATGGGCAAAATTGTCTACTTGACATAAAAATGATCATCCTGATAATGGTAATTGAATAAACCAACTTTCGCAAAACGAAGCTGTTCATTCATCTACTGACTCATCTACTGACTCTCCTACTCCCTACCTCCCAATACCCTCATCAAAGCGGTCAATATTTTCCAACAAAATGTCCCTATAATTTCCTCTACTTCAAAGTTGAGACAGAGAAGACAAACGGAGATAGAGCTACAACACTGATTGGGTTAATCTCATCATTTGAGAATTTCTCCCCTTTTTGTCAGTGATGCTGTTGTCAGGCAACCCAGGCTCCAACTCATCGATTGAGACCAAGACTCGTAGGTTCTTCCGTCATGTTCTCCTGGATCAGTGTAAGACAATGGAAGACCTATCCATGTGGCTACATTTCATCCTGAAACCATTCCCCATGGTACATCAAGCTAGACTGCTCTACTTGTTGTATGGGCCACTCTGCCCAGGTACAGGTGAGTCTATGGGGTACAGGGCCTAGGGGTGGGGTTATCGGCACAAAATAGTAGGAGGTAGGCTTCATTTTCATAAACAGTCCTAGGGTGTGTGATGCTGGACTGACACATGGCCAAGAGTGTCCATGTACAGATGAGACTCCTGTGGTGGTTGGCTTGAGGTAGAAGGGATAAGATATTGTGGAGTACGTATGCCCCACTTTCCAGTCTTACTTATACATGGGCTTGGCAGCCGCAGTGCTGTTTTTCTATATGAGCCGCCTTACTGGGGAGAAGGCGGAGTATTTATTAATGCAAGTCAGGGCTGAAATGAGGAAGGAGTTTAAAAAAAGAGAATAGACCTCATCTCAGAGCCCTGGAAATGCCGGTACAGTCTGATAAACCAAAACCGATTACCAAAAGGCCACATATTCTTGAAAGTCAGTACTAATTAATGGGTGTTGATTGTATGATTACGTCAGTCCAAATTTAGCTCAACGATGATGCCTCGTCTGAGCTGGTCGAGACCATGGGCCAAAAGTGAATGAATGGTATATCAACTGTATCATTTGTACTATCTGCCTCGAGCAAAAGCCCCCCCTCATTGCTTGAAAAAAGCCTTCTTGGTCAGGTGTGTTCATTGTGTTGGTAGCAATGCATTTGTAACACATATTTAGTAATCGTTCGTGGACAAGTGAAGTTCAGTTCTGACCAAAGGAGCCCCCACTGCTAAGAATATAACATCCTCTCTTGGTCCAGCTTGATTCTCATACACTCCTTGTAGTGGTTCTCTCTCTCTCGTGTTTCAGATGTTGTGTCCTGGGACTGTATGCGAGAGACGTCCGGCAGTGACAGGGAGATTCGATCCAGAACAATTGCTCCCCTGGGTGAGATCGCCATGGCTCTCAAGGCACTGGTCAGCCACAGAGAATGGAGTGATGATGATGTCATCAGTGTCCTGGAAGAACTGACCGGTAGTAATTTCATATTAATGAAACCTTGGGTTTCACATCACGTAATGGTTGGGCTCAAGGATAGAATCTCAAAATAGCTGCATATTCAACTCCCCAAACCCTCAAATAACCAGGGTAATTTAAGTAATACGACCTTCTTTCAGATAGAAATTCTCATGAACTGTACAACCTCGGGTAGTATTCCCTAACATCTCAGCAATGTTGGAAGAAATACATGTATAAAAACAAATACCTAAATTAAACCATTTCGAAGAGAAAATACTTTTTTAAAAAGTGGAACTGATATTTTTAACAACTAATGTCCCAGTGCGCTTAAAATTACCCAATGTCCTTTGTGTATAACAAATTAAAGTAACAGCTTTCCGATTGGATGAAAGTTAGTCTCCCACTTCAGATCTATGAAGCGGGTAATGCCCTCTGTTGGTCACTTTGGTGAGGTTTTTCTCCACTGCATGAAGTGGCATTGATACCATGGCCAGTGAATTTGTTTACACTTTGATGAACTATAATTATCCCAGTTGATTTTTTGTTTGTCTCAAGAGGAAGTTAACTCTACAGTTTTTGGTTACAAAAGCTGCACATTAAACAACTGCAGTAAGACTGAGATGGGTTTCTGACCTACTTTTGAGGAAGATGGTCACTGGAAGTTATAACTTCAGATCATAGTCAGGACTGTCCTTCTCGTAGTGGGTGAAAGACCATTATCAAAGTGCTGTGTCAATGGTTATCCATAACATACATGTACACTCTCTGTGGTCCTACTCAGGCTGCCCAGATGAGTGGCTGATTGAGAACACCGCCCGATTGCTGATTCTGTGCGGTGAGCCCATTGTTCTGAAGGTGCTTGGTAGTAAAGCCATCAATGGCAAGATGAATGAACTGGGCAGCATCATCGTAGCTTTCTCAGTGGTAAGAATTGTTACCCAATTTCAGAGCTAGCTATGTCAAGATTCTTGCTGATAGGACTTTTGCCCAAGTTGTGACTTATAAACCCATGTAAGTCATAACCAAAGCGAAGAGTGTGTGTGCCCGTCTCTATGGCCATCCTTTGGGTGGGGGATCATTTGCATAAGAATACAAGGAGTTGGGTTTAGAACTTGTGTACGTGTATATTTTTTGTAGATTGAGAAAGGTGATCATCAGCCATCATCATTTTTTTGGCGGATGGTTTCAGAAAGGTAGAGGGCCACAGGTGGTTTTGTATGCTGGTGAAAATAACATCAAAACTCAGAAACCACTGCAAAAAGGCTCGTTACAATTTTCTACTAATTTGATTTTATTCAATTTGCCTGGAATGTCTGCTCTAGGTCTTGTATGATGAAGGATTGCACATGTCATGGCTCATCAAGATGGTACATCAGCTATGTCGCATGATGAAGACAACTCAAGATGTCCAAAGCTTCCTGGGTTCCATCACGGCAACATATAAGGACTTCATCATTGCATTGATGTATTCCCCAGAAGAAGAAGGTGAGATGAGTATAGGTGCCATTTGGAGGGAGGGGAGTGACTGCCCCTTTCCCAATCTCTCTACATCTGCCAAGTACTGACGATCATTGTTGATATTGGTAACGTACTTGCAGAATGGAACGTCGTTTACTGTGTCTGTTTCGACTGCATGTAACGGGAACATTTTTGTTATTTCCATTCCAACCTCCTCTTTACGTCCATTTGTTTCCCCTCGTTTCTCCTAAAACAAATTTCAATCAAAGTCCTGCTCACTCTGTGAAAAACCTTTTCAGTTTACTTCGGGGATCAAAGGTACCTGACCATGGGATGGGCTACTGGATCTTTCTGGGTGACTATCCAATAATTTAAGCCACAATAATTTTTCCCACTTCGCAGTGACCGCCACACAGTTCCAGCTCCACCATGTCGCCATGGCACAGTCTGATTTCATGCAAGGAATGATGCTGCAGTTATTCAATGTGTCAACATCCACACTGATGAAACACTCTTGATAGTCCAGAAAGCAGGAAGTTTGTGCCGTGTTCTTATATTTTTAAGTTCTCACCTGTACTGAAGAATTATCAACACAGAAGATGACTTTTGTTCTTACATTTCCACGATTGGAAGGGCTGTATATCTTATTCCTAAAGAAAATGGTTTTGGCAAAAATTTCCCTCCTTGCAATGTAAGAGTGCCATCTACCTTCAGTTGATCCTTTGCTTTGGCAATATAAACGAGCCTATTTTAATAGGCAGTAACTTTTGTTTTACAAGAGTTGGGATGGTAAAAACCCTACTTTCTATAGAAATTGCCAATATTTATTACCACCATCTTAACTGTCTTTGGAAGGAATCTAGTAAAAAAGAAGGGTTTGATTTTAATGTTTAAGGAATGAATAAATTATATTAGTACTAGGTAGAATCTCAAATTGTCTGCAACTTGCTAGAGTAAATTTAGCCATGAAACCCTACTCCATATGCACAGTGTAATTGATTGATATATTCATAAAGTAATATATTAAATATTTATAAAATATCAAATGAATATTTCCTTGCATCTAGAGAAGCAAATATGCAAACCTCGATTTCTGCTCACCATTCAATTGACAAGATTTCAATATGTAGTGACCTACGTGGTTGTCTGAAGTTAGCTTAGAGTTTCATATGATAGAGGAGTTTAGAAGCAAAGTGTTCCTTGACATTAGAATGCCAAAGTTATTTCCCAACAAGAATTGGTTAGTGGTTATTCCCCTATGTTTGTTTCACCTGTTTGTTTCACTCCTTTAATTAAAACACAGGATTGAAGTACTTTTGTTTGCAATGTTATTTATTCTGCGATATTATTTGATTTCTGTGTAATACTTGTAAAATACAAACTTGAGATGTGAAATCCTATTCCATATGCACAGTGTAATTGATTGATATATATTCATAAAGTAATATATTAAAGATTTATAAAATATCAAATGGATATTTACTTGCATCTGGAGAAGCAAATATGCAAACCTGTGTGTCTGCTTGCCATTTTAAATTGACACAATTTCAACACATCAAGGGGTAACCGTTGCATTCTTTCAAAGTCAAATAACTCAGAAATACATTCAAATCATTTCTTTAATTTCAGTGTCCTTAATTTAACTTTACTTTTTTACAACTTGGAGATCAGAGATAGCCTAAGTGTTTTATAAGGTTTAATAGACTTTAATGGAAAAGTCTTGTTTCACTAAGTTCATTATTTATCAACAATCCTTTGTAACTTTTTATTGTATATGTTGACATGTCTTTTAATTAGATTTCTTGCATTTTCTTCATTTTTATTCTTTATGACTTTATTTTTTGTATAATTTTGCAGTGTTGAAATTTGAGTTATTTTATTTTTACACTTTATTTTGAATCTGTTAATAAAGAAAAAGTCCGAAGAAGAGTATTTGCTTGATTTTCTAAGATTTCATTTGCTTATTTTCGATTGCATGTGTAGGGCTATTATGTAATGATATCTCGTTGGAGCATGCGCAGTCTGCTGGGTTTGTCCTGCAAGATCTGCGAGACAAAGATTTCTGATGACGTTTGCAAACTACCGATATTTCCCTTGAAAACATTGTTATCTCTACTCCTAACACCTCAAATCTAATCTAAAAATGAGATGTTATTAAAAAGACCTTTTAGTAACAACACGATAAGCTGTATTTAAGTTGCAAGCCGGTTAAATGTCACGAGAATAAATTGACCTTTTCACGTAAAGTTTCCCCATGAAAACACCGATAAATAATTGGTGAACAACCTTTGACCTTGCATTTAACAAGTTTGTCCAATGAGGGCGCGCTAACATTAACTTGGCTACTACAACCTCGTCAACCCCCCCTCTTGGTTCAGACGCTTCAAGGAAGCGGCCCCGCATCGCCCACTGATCAAAAATCTCTTGACCCCCTGCTAACTAAATATAATTTCTCTGACAAAAGCAAATTGCTCTCAATACGTAATAAAATAAATAATTTCTGTTCAAAAAGCAGAACAATTAGATTGCACTGATGGGAAGCAAGTAAAGTCAACTAAAGCAAGAATTTGAAGGAATAACCTTGGCCAACTAAAGATAGTTTAAAAGTTTTACTCTTACCAGATGAAGTAAACTAGTAATACGCAGAAATTAGGAAAGCATTTTTAGCAAATGAAATTTTAAAACCACCTTCATACAATGAAAGCTTTAGTCTCAAAACATTGCGGATCAGCAGGTTAGAACAGATTGCCCTTTTTCCACTGCAACAATTTAGTGCCAGGGGTTTCCCCTTGCGGCAGAAATTTTGCATTCTGTCTCGAGTCTGGAATTCCCAATGTTTCGTCATCGCTCACAGACCCCTTCACCTTTCTGTTGGTTATGCTCGCATTACACTTCACCATCCATGCATGCATATGCAACTGAAAACACATAGGTCGACGGAGCTCTAGATCTGCCATCCACGTTTTTGAGATCCCCGTTCCCAACACACGAGATAGGCGTCTGCCATAAATGGCAGTTGCGAACCCTCGTACCGGCCAATGCGCGACAGATGCCCAATATTAACATAATTTATGCGTTGTGCCTACAACCTGCTGTCCAGCATAATAGGGAAGCTGGCGCCGAACAGATTTTTATCAGCTACGTCGTAGACGTAATTAGAGAATATGAACCTCGTGAGGAAAATCATTTCACTCACTTTGACGTGGATATGCAGGTTGACATTTCCGTTGTTGCTCTTTCATAATTGTTATATTTTCAAATGTGAAAAATGTTGTCCATAGTTGTTGCATGGCGAAAGGAAAACAATCTCCATGGTTATTGCTATGCTAGGCCTATTGACAATACGCACACTATGTAAATGTATGCGAGTGATTTACACAACTGTGCATATAAAAATGCGATGGAGATATGACAAAAAAGGCTTTACTTTGTTCAGTGGAATTGTCTTGCAGTTACTAATTTTGGAAATTGGCCGCTTTGCTTGCAGCATGCTGTTTCTGTAGGAGTAGCACCGAAGGTTACGAGGTTGCAATATGTCGGCTCTTATGGAACCTTACATGGAGGAGTACTCATACGGTAAAACTTGCCTCTGGCGGGATTCTTTTTATTGTAAAACAAATACTGGTATATTTATATATTGGTTTTAATTCGTGTTATTTTTGAAAAGCATGGCTGGGGTGTAAACAGGTAAACAAAAGCAATGGAAAATGTAATTAAATGTACTCCATGGAATGTTGGCCAATTAAATTCTTGAACACAGTTCACGTCGACCACATCTGGGAACTTCACATCATTGCAGGCACAGTGGCCAAAAAAATGTTGGTTTTCTTACTATATCGCAGAATATTTTCGCTGAAGACGTACATGCATCGGTGCAAAATTACACTCTAAATATTAATTTTGACGCACACCAATTTTATATTAACAATTAGGGGCCATTACTCTCCAGTCCCAAGATGACACTTATAAACATATTCTCACGTGATGTCATGTGTAATACTTCACATCTTGCCTTTCAGACATGGACATAGAGTTGCAGCTTTCTTTCCAACTTCAGTCCTTAGATGATGCGGCAATGGAGTTTGTGCGATGCCGACAAAATACGGTCAAAGTCCTCCGAGACTTGGTGGCCTATCTCACCGAACATCACACAAATGCACAGGTAGCCAAGGTAATAAGTCGATCAGCCGTTTGGGCACCCTTCTGAGTGTGACTTGACGCGCGTGTTTCTTTTTTAGCACCGTCTAGGTCAGAGACGCATGAGACGCATGCGCATACACTTGCATTGTGCCAGCACATAACTTCCAATTCTGCTCTGAAAGTCAGTTTGATTGTTAATGTTCTAATTTTCTTCGTTTGTACCGTAGATTGTGGGAAGTACAGTGGGCCTCATAGGCTCTGCGTTAACTATCGGTGGTTTTATCGCTGCATTTTTCACCTTCGGGGCCTCCCTTGCCGTCTCAGCCGTCGGTGCAGGCATCGGTGCCGCTGGGGGTCTGACCACCGTTGGGGGCGTGGCAACAGAAGCTATCACCTCCAGAATTACTGAACAAGGAGTTAAGAAAGCTCTGGAAGATGACAACGCCGCGTACCAGAAATTCCTTGAGGCCATGGGTAGACTGAAGTCAACATGGGAAGGCATGAGAGCCACTGTCATGGGCGTGAGATCGGCGACAGTGGTTGGCCACGGGCTGGGGGTAGTTGGAGGGATAGCAGAGGCCGGAGCCCAGGCGGCGAGTGTCGGTAGAGCTGCCGGACAAGCGGCCTTCAAGACGGCCTCGGCCGCCGGAAGGGGTCTGGCAATCACTGGCATTGTCTTTAGCGTGGTTGCCATCCCCATTGACCTGTACACACTGATAACATCGGCCGAGAAAATCGGCAAAAAGACGGCGCCTGAGCTGGCCAAGGAAATCAGCAAGATTGTGGAGGAGTTGCCGTGCCCCTCTGAGGATGAGATGAAAGAATGTGTCTTCAAGTTGAGGACTGAGTACTGTGCGGACACAGAAGAGTAACTCAATGGCAAAATCATCAACTGTCTTGAAACAGCACGTGCATGACTTAGACCTGTATAAAAATCACACTGTGCTTCTTTTTTCCTAACTCCACACGCACGATTAGGTGAAACCATATAGGAGTGAAGAATATAAGATTAAGGTGCAAGTCAGAATGAACTGTAGTTACTGGTCACTGTTATATTCACGGGTGGGGGGGGGGGGAGGAGGCCCCGCCGGGAAAAATGAAAAATACAGGAGGAAAAGAAATGGTTAAAACCAACAAAAAGTTTGCCTGTGATCGAATATGCGTGCCCTCGTCAAATCCTGACAATGCGCATGACTCGATATATGAGCTATAATTTAGAAAGTAAGTTTAAAAGTTCTTAATTAACGCTTAAAGGTTGTGCATCTTAAGATTAGTTGCACGATTACGAAGCAATAATTAAATGAAATTCTTTTTATTAGGATCGTCCTAAGAGGATAAGCTTGTGTACATGTTTCAGATAAAATTAAATGTAATCCACCATGATTCTTATTGTAAACAAGATACGTGTGCTTCATTTATCACAAGTTTCATCCCCTTTTAAGAGTGGAAGAGACCACGTTAAGCACAGACCTGTTCGGCGCCCATTCCCGATCCCTGGCGATTCCAAACCCTCAGTCATGCATGGGGTCTCACGCACGGTCGACTACTACATCACAGCGCCACATGAACGAACACCCGATGACAGTGTTACCGTGTTTACACAGAGGATCAGTAAATCAGTTGCCATAGACAACAGTGATATATATCCCCATTTCAAAAAATCAGGAAAAATACCCATAAGTTTCACAGGTGTTCAAGACACATATCAAATTAAAGCTCACTTCCTCATCTTTCATTTTCCTTTCAATTTTTAGTGGCTTAACCGATAACTTTGGAGATATTTCTCTCCAGAGAAAATCACACCCCAAAACAGTCAGGAGGCCCATCGCCATTTTGGAAATTGATGCCTGCACTTCGTGGCAAAACAGAGCAATTTGGAGGGTCCTATTTGGTCCAATACTTGCATAAATACAAGCTGACCGTCCTGCCCCTGGATTTCATCCACCTTTTTAACAAACCGCCCAGTCCACGTGCCACGAAAGGCTCTATTAGCAGAGAATTTGACAGCCTACAGATCGTGATTTGATCCGTGCAGGCAATTTCGGACCTTTTTACCAGCTGGCCTGCAATACAAAAACAAACACCTTTGGTTGTGGCTGGGGGGCCAGTCCACTAATTCAAGCCCCATTGAAAAC